AGCAGGGAGTCTGCTTCTCCCTCTGACCCTCCCCCGTCTCATGTGCTCTCTCTATCTCATTCTCTCTCTCAAATAAATAAAATCTTTAAAAAAAATAAGAATAAAAAAATAAGGAAATAAAGACTTAATGTCCTCATTGGGGCTCATATTCTCAAAAGGGGAGGCAGATTGTAAATAATAAACTTAATTAATATTTTAGAAAATGATAAATGCTATGGAATAAAAAGGAAAAAAAGCAATACGATCAAGAGTGCGAGATGGGGATGGTTGCAGTTAAGATGATTAGGGTCATATTTGAGTAATAATTTGAAGGAGGTGAATTAGCTAAGGGAATATCTGGGGAAGGTACATTCCAGTCAGAGTAATGGCTGGAAAAGGCATTAGTGTAGGAGAATGCCTGTCATGTTCAAGTAAACTAGAGTGGCTGAAGCAGACAGAATGAGGGGGATGTAATTAGAATTTAAGGTTAGAGAAGAACTAGATGCCATATCATGTAGATACTCTAAAGATCCTGGATTTTACTCTGAGTAAAATGGGGAGCTGTTGGAGTATTTTGAGCAAAGCAGTAACATAATCTAACTTATATCTTTAAAATGGGAGGCAGGAAGAGTAAAACAGGGAAATCTGTAAACAGGTTATGGTGGTAATTTAGCTCAAGATGATAGCTGTTCGGACCAAGGCGGTAAGAAGTGGTTAGATTCAGGATATATTTTGAACGTAGAAGCAAACAAAATTTCTTGATGGCTTGGATATGTAACGTGGGTAAGAAGTCTTACAGATGATTCCAATATTTTTGATATGAGTAAGTGGAAAAATGGGGTTATCATCAACTGAAATGTGAAAGGCTCCACATAGAAAACATTTGTGGGGATGAGGATAGAATATCAGTGGTTCAATTTCTGAAGTGTCAATTTTGAGATATTTGTTAGACACTTAAGGAGAGTTGTCTCGTAGTTTGGATATGTTTTCTTGGACTTCGGAACAGGCTTGGGCTGAGGTTATAAATTGGGGAATTATTAGCATAGCGATGGAATTTAAATTTAGGATGGTGATTAGATCACTAAGATAGTAGCTAGAAAGAGGACCAATAATAAAACTCTGGAGTATGCCAACATTTTGAGTTGAAAAGGCACAAGCCAAGAGATTAAGGAGTAGAAACCAGTGAGCTAGGAAGAAAACTACGGGAGAGTAGGATTTTTTTTTTTTTTTTTAAGTATGATGTTTCAACATCAAGTGAAGAACATGTATCAAGGAGGGAGTGATCAACTGTGTTAAATGCAATAAAATGAAGACTTAAAGTAGACCATTGGCTTGGCAGTACAGAATTTGTTGTCTTTGAGTTGGAGACTGGATGGGAGGAGAGGAGTTGTAGGTAAAGGGCTTAGATAATTTTTTTTTTTTTATATTTTATTTATTTGAGAGAGAGAGCGCGCGCGCATGCAGGAGAGCACAAGCAGTGGAGAGGGAGAAGCAGGCTCCCATCTAGCAGGGAGCCCAGGGCGTGGCTCGATCCCAGGACCCTGGGATCATGACCTGAGCCAAAGGCAGCTGCTTAATAGACTTAGCCACCCAGGCACCCTGGCTTAGATAAATAATTCTTAAGGAGTTTTACTGCAGCTGTAATTAAAGGGGGGGGGAGGGGAGTAAAGTGGGATTAATAGATGAATTAAGAACAAATTAGGATGGGAGAAGTAGAAGTATATTTGTGTGCTAATATGGATGATTCAGTACAGGACAGAAAATTAGCAGTGTAGTTAAGGACACTCCCCATACAGAGTAGAAGAGAGACTGTTGAGTAGATGAGAGGGTGGGATTTAGTATACAAGTCAAGTAACTGGATTTAAATAAAAACATGGGTAATTAATACCTTATAGCATTGATTCATTAGCTGGTAGATAGGAGTTATGGTGGGAATTTGAAGTTCTCATCTGGTTGTTTCGGTTTTCCCAAAGTAGGAAGCAAAGTCCTAGCCTAAAAGAATGGGAAAGGAATGTTGTGAGGTTGAGGAGCAAGGAGAAAGTACAAAATAGTGTCTTAGAGATTAGTAGAAAAAATGAACTAAAAATGTGATAAGTATGGCATCAAGTTTCACCCCGAGATTGGCGGTTGTGGTCATGAGTTTAAAGTGAGTCAAGGCTGATTATGTTTGTTTTCTAACCATTTTCAGCTGCCTAGGTATAAGGAGATTTGGATTTAATGAGATTTTGGTTTTACTAAGTGATAGGAAGCAGTCTCTTAATAAATGACAAAGACTAAGCACCCTGAGATTGGAAATGGGTAAGAAATAGCCAGGGAAATATTAGCAGCATTCACAAAGATCATGTATAAACTATTTGGAGATGTTCTCTAATAAACAACTTTTGATGCAATTATCAAATATTCTACTCTTGTTTTTCCAACTGAAGGCATTGACAAGACTACATCAGCTGAAACTTTTAGGTCATACTTTAGTTGTTGAATTTGCAAAAGAGCAAGATCGAGTTCATTCCCCGTGTCCCCCTTCAGACCCTGAAAAAAAGAAAAGGTATGTAGATCGTTAGGTTTTCCTAACATTTTAAAGTGTTTTTTAATCAATTGTATTGCTGTTGGGTTGTTTTCAGACTAGCAAATAATTTGACATAATAAATGATACATGTCTCTTGAATCCAGTACATTTATTTTTGTTCTTATTGTGCATTAGGAATCTGAGTGTTGATTTAATATTGAGAACTAATCAGTGTGAAGTGGGAAGAGGGTGGGGTGAAAAGCATCAGCTTTAAGTGGAGGAACATAACTAGTATAAAAATCCTTGTTGTATTACAGATAGCAGGGTGCCGTGGATAGGCATGGCCTTTGAAATCAAAGACTGGTATTTGGTTCCCAGCAGTAACTCTTTGTAGTTATAAAACCTTTACAAATTTGCCTTACACTAGTGGTTCTCAGAGTAGTCCTTGGGCCAGTGGCATCATCTAGGATCTTGATTGGAATACAGATTCTTGGGCCCTACCCTAATCCTACTGAATTTGAAATTTGGGGGTTGGGAAGGGGAATATAAGGCCCAGCAGTCTGAGTTTTAACAAACCCTCAATTTTTTACTCTATTTCTAAAAATAAGATCAACTTTGATTCTGTATTTTGTAGATCTGATGACCCTGTGGAAGATGATAAAGAAAAGAAAGAACTTGGTTGTTTAACCATAGAAAATGGAATTGCACCAAACCATGGGTTAGTGTTTTTTGTTTGTGTTTTGTTGTTTTTTGGTTTTGTTTTTCTGAGTGTGTGTGTGTGTGTGTGTTACAAATAAAAGATTTTAAAGGATTGTGTCAAGTCAATATGTTGGTTAAACATGTTGAGCTATTAGAGTTTGTCACTGAATTTGGGTCCATTAAAATGTTAAGAGCTATAAAATAAGCTCTGGTAAGAAATACCTTATTTTTCTTTAGTGCAATCAAAAAACAGATTTCCTTTTTTTTCTTTTTTAAAGATTTTATTTATTTGAAAGAGAGCATACGCACGAGCATGAGCAGGGAGGAGGGGCGGGGCGGAGGGGACGCCGCTAAGCAGGGAGCCCACTGGCCCAAAAGTCATTCAGAACGACCCTGAGATCATGACCTGAGCCAAAGGCAGACACTTAACCAGCTGAGCCACCCAGGCACCCCAAAGCAAATTTCTTCTTAAATGTACTTATTTGGGATTATAAGGAACAAGGTGAATCTAAAAGTACTGAATTATTTGAGCAATTATGTACTTCATCAGGTTACCTAAAAATGCATTATTGATACGAAACTTACTAAAAGATGATAAGCATTTTAAATATATTTTTTAGGCTGACATTTCCTCTGAATTCATGCCTCAAGTATATGTACCCACCACCTTCAAGTACAATCCTAGCAAACATAGTAAATGCTTTGGCAAGTGTCCCTAAGTTCTATGTACAGGTAAGTAGAATGAAACTTAACTTCCCCAAAATAAATGCTTGAATAACTTGATAAGTTATTTTCCATGCTACTTTTTATACTTTTCGTAATAGCATTAATCAGACTAATTCTAACAGGCAGTGATATTACAGTTATTTAAAGGTGTCTTCTCAGTTTGGGCTGCTGTAACTAAGTACCATAGACTGGGTGGCTTATAAACAACAGAAAATTATTTCTCACGGTGCTGGAGATTGGAAGTCCGAGATTAGGGTGCCAGCAGGGTTAAGTTCTGGTAAGGGCCCTCTCCTGGGTTGCAAATGGCTATTTTCTCTTTGTATCTTCACCTAGCGAAAAAAGGAGAGCGAGCTCTCTGGGGGTCCCTTTTATAAGGAACACTAATCTCATTCATGGACATCTACCCTTATGACCTAATTACTTCCCAAAGACCCTACCTCCTGAAACCATCACATTGAGGGTTAGGATTCAGTATATGTGTGTGGGTGGCGGTTAAGTCCATTGCAAAATGTAATGAAATACTACTACATTCAAGTGAAGGTTTTTATAGACTATGGCTTAAATTTATTAATGTGTTTAATATTAATACTAATAAGCATAAGATAATTTGGGAAATATAACTTCTGGTAATTTTTGTTACTTGAGCATATACCTTTAATGGAGATTCTTTCTTAAAGGAAAAAACATAGTGGATCCCTCAGCAAATGCTTGAAAGTATTGACAGTAGTACGATAGTTTTAAGTACAAATTATAGATATTTTCTTTAATGTACTTTTTGTTTCATAATTCCGCAGTAATTGGGGAAATATATAACATTTTGGTAGCACTTACTGCAAGAACATGGTATTTTTAATAATGAGAATAATGAGTATTTGTAGAATTGACATACATTTTAGGAAGGGTAATCTGAGATATATCAGTGGCTGGTAATAGCCCTATTCTGGGATAAAGCAAGAAGTGGCCAGCCTTTGCACTAAATCAGGAATGTTATTGCAAAGTTTTAAAGTACATAAAATACAAGATGTGAGTTGAATTATCATTTTACTATGTGATTTTCAATGTTTTGCTGCTTTAAGGTGCTTCATCTTATGAATAAAATGAATTTGCCCACACCTTTTGGACCAATTACTGCACGACCTCCCATGGTAAGAAATATCTTAGAATTTTAAAGATTCATGGGGCACCTGGGTGGTGCAGTTGGTTGAGTATCTGACTCTTGGTTTCAGCTGGGGTCGTGATCTCAGGGTCATGGGATCGAGCCATTCGTTGGGCTCTGTGCTCAGTGCAGTCTGTTTAAGACTCCCTCTCCCTCTGTCCCCCTTAAATAAATAAATAAATCTTTTATTTATTTATTTATACGTCAGAGAGATAGATAGGGAGAGCACAAGCAGGGGGAGCGGCAGGCAGAAGAAGAAGTAGGCTTCCCGCTGAGCAAGGAGCCCAATGCGTGACTCGATCCCAGGACCCTGGGATCATGACCTGAGCCGAAGGCAAATGCTTAACCAACTGAGCCACCCAGACCGTCTCAATAAATAAATCTTTTTAAAAAAAAAAAAAAGAATTTTGAAGATTACAACTTCTCTTCCTGAGGTGGGATTATTGAGGCTAACCTTCACAAATATTGCGCCACTAACTTCTAATGTGCATTGAAATTAAGGGACAAATATAAAGTTAATATGCTAGTAAGAGTTAAGTGGAGAACTATGAGTAGGAGAAAGTCAGAATGTGAAAGAGATGCTTTTGGTAATAGAGGCCCTCATTTCTGCCAGTGTTGTTCAATCCTTTGACCCAGAATGTTCTGCCATTTTATAAAATAATTGCACTTAACAAAATTATGTAAAATTTCCATTGTTCTGGTGTTATTGCATATAGAGCTTCATTTGCAGAAGAGAAGAAGGGTTGCTAATAATTTTTATTCAAATTTACTGTGCAAATCTATCTGTAACTTAGTCTGTGTCTGCTATTGAATCATTCTAGTTACTATTTTGTTACAGTACTTAGTACTTGTTTAGATAATAGCAATGAGAAATTATTTTGAGTCCTAACATTTAAATAGAAAATTTGCTTTTTTGTTGTCTATTGCATATTGGCTGCTTTTCTAATGTATATACTATTAGCTTCATAATTTTCCTTTGTAATCCCAGCACTTCAATGTCTGGCACATTACAGGAATATCTTTGAAGATAAGCTAACTGCTATTAACATAAAACTCAAATCTTAGTCATAGTCACTTAACCAGCATAAGTTATTTCTTGTACATGGTCAAGTATATTCCAAAAGTAGGGCAGAATCATGTTCTATTCTGGTCATTCAGAAATTTCACTTGTCTTCACTATGTGCATTCCCAGATCAATGAGGGCATTACCATACATCCTGCAGATCAAGAAGGAAGAGATGATTATGGGTGGATTTTTTTTATGCTAGCATTCTGTTGGCTAAAACTCAGTTACATGATTAAATCCAACTGTAAAGGAGGTTTGGAAATTTACTCCAGCTAGGTGCCAAGGAAGAAGAAACAAGTTTTGTGATCAACTAGCAGTCTTCTGTAGCAGGTGTTCCCTCAATTTGTGTTGAATGTGTAAAAGAATATCATGACGGAGAGAGATGAGAATAATGTACCTGAATGGAAATGTTTTTTCTGTTCTATAAATATCATAGATTACCATATGATTACCGTTTTTCTCTTAATTAGTATGAAGATTATATGCCATTACATGCACCTCTTCCACCTGCATCTCCTCAGCCACCAGAGGAACCTCCTTTGCCAGATGAGGATGAGGAATTATCAAGTATAGAATCAGAATATGAAAGCAGTGATGATGAAGACCGACAAAGGTTTGTAATATCAAATAATATTTGTTTAGATTTTAAGAACAGAATATGAGACAGATTCTTTTGCTCTTCTTAAATTTTACCTATAATTCTTCATAATTTGGGGTCATTAAAATTTGTCCCCAACTCCCCAACCCCTCAAGCATATGTAATAGGTATAGATTAAGATCTGAGACCTAAGGAAAAGTTTCTGGATTATGAGTAATTCTTTAGATCAGTGATTATAGTATTATGAAGTGCAATTGATCCTTGTTATTTGTGGATTATGTATTTGAGAATATCCCCACATGCTAAAATTTATTTGTAATCCCCAAATCAATACTTATAGTGCTTGTATGGTCTTTTGCCAATGTGGGCATGCACAGAATGGTGAAAAATTTGAGTTGCTTGACGTGCACATTCCTAGATGAGGTAGAACAGGGTGACATGCTGTCTTCTTACTTCATCTCCAGTACTGTAAACAAGTATCCTTTTTGTGGTCTATTTAATACCAAGCCTTCCACATTTTTTATGATGTTTCTTGGTGATTTTGCTGTTTAAATTGGTCCCCAAGCATAGTGTTGAGGTGCTGTCTAATGTTTCCAAAATCAAGAAGGCTGTGATGTTCCTAATGGAGAAAACCTGCTAGATAAGCCTTGTTCAGGGTTGAATTATAGTGCTGTTGACTGTAAATTCAATGTTAGTGAATCAACAATATATAAAATAAGGTGTCCTTAAACAAAAACACACATGAAACAAGGTGTGTATTGATCAGTTGGTGAAATGCTAAGAGTATAGGCTTGCAGGAACCCAATCCTGACTTCCCCGGAGGGGCATTGATTCATTATTCACTAATTCTTTGTGGAGACTTCATAAAACTTTAACTATCTTGAATAACAAGAATAAGAATGGATTGTATTTGTATTTTTTTCAGCTTATTCCCCTGAATTTTATTCTCAGAATAAATTTCTAGAGCATTTCTGTGGGATTTTATACAGAACAATTTGTAGTAACTAATGCAGATGAATTTTTTTTTTTTAATTGGTTGTTCTTGACAACCTACATACCTTTTATTTAAAGATTCTGGTGAAAAGCAGTAAATGGTTAATGTTCAGGTGTATAATCCACAGCATAGCCTAGAACAGGAATTGCTAAACATTTTCTGTATAGGGCTAAGAGTTCTGTTGTAGTAGGAAAGCAGTCACAGACAATACCTAAAGGAGTGGATGTGGCTGTATTTCAGCAAAACTTTCTGATTACGGGAAGAGGCAGCTGGCTGAATTTGGTCCCAGGGCAGTAATTTGCCAACCTCTAGCCTAGAAGACCACTATGGGCATATGATGGGAATTTTTTATTTTATTTATTTATTTTTTTAAGTTTTTTTATTTTAAGTAATTGCTAGACCCAGTGTGGGGCTCGAACTCACAACCCCAAGGTCAAGAGTCACATGCTCCAACTGAGCCAGCCAGGTGCCCCAAATGATGAGAATCTTAGGTAACTGTGTACAGAAGTCAGATACAGGAGGGGTTGACATGAGTCAAAATCCAAGTAGAGGGGCACCTGATGGCTCCGTTGTTAAGCATCTGCCTTCGGCTCAGGTTATGATCCCAGCCAGAGTCCTGGGATCGAGCCCTGTATCTGGCTCCCTGCCCAGTGGGAAGCCTGCTCTTTCCTCTCCCACTCTCCCTGCTTATGTTCCCTCTCTTGCTGTGTCTCACTGTCAAAAAAATAAATAAAAACCTTAAAAAAAAAAAAACCAAAAACCAAGTAGAAACTCCAGGCAATATTTACAAATAATCAACAACAATATGACTATTATTGAGTCAGTGTTAACTTAAGTACTCTCTCAATATGCATTCTTTCTAGAGAAAGAGTTAAAAATGTAGGTGGAGGCAAAACTACAAAAATGGGGTGAATGGGGTGTCTTGAATAGAGACATTTAGGAAGGCTGGCAGTTCTTGATAGACTAACTTGTTGCCAAATAAAGAACGGTATAAAGTGTTGCGTTGGGTTCATTACATAACCTATGTACATTTTACTTTCTTTATAAAATAGTGGTAGTAATTTCAGGAATGCTTTATGCAGGCTGGCCAAAACCTTTTTTTGTTTTTTTTTTATTCTGGTTTCTATTTAGGGATGTAGTGAGGAATTCTGCAAGTAATTCATCTTGAGTAATGAGAATAAAGTCTTTGCAAAAACAGTGTTTCATGCTTTTCTATCTTTGGGAAATGTAAACAAAAACAAAACCATACTATTTATTTAGCAAGTATTTATTGATTACCTAATTTATGCCTGGCAATGTTGAGAGGCTTAGTCTATTTTGGGTGAGCAATTTGTGAATAGAAACATGTTTTGTATAACTGGATTTATTCATAAAATTTTGGGCAAACCTTGATTGTTAAGAGGCTTTACAAATGTATAGCATGTGTTTATTACATTTTTCTTTACTTGGTTTAAAGCTTATTTTAACCACATTCTCCTTTCTTGCAATTTGTGTGCATGTTTATTTTGCTTTCAAATTTCACAAATGTAACTGTAGAAATAGAGCTGTGACTAGTGATTGGGAGCTTCTGCTCTGGAAACACTGTGTCTGATTCTGTGGAAGATACAAAAATGCCTAGACAGGATCTATTTGAAATATTACACTCATAATGAAGATAAACTAGGTACAATGTATCAATTATCACAGCTTGATAGTTTCTTATAAAAAGCCACTTCAAAGATAGTATTGAAAACTTTGTTCTCAAGTAAGTTATCTTGTTCATAAAATGATTCATGTGCAATGATTTTGAAAATGCTTTAAAATAAAAATAACTTCAGTTTAGACTCTTTAATTAGAATAAGAATTAAAATAATTATACTGTATTTATAAGGTCTTTTTGAATATTAGTCAAAAAAAGGAATAAAGTTACATAGGTTGTATTACTGTATCCTGTTCAACTTTCTGGCATCAAGTGCAGACATTTTATTTGGACAACTAATAATTTTCATAATAAAACATATCTTTAAAAGGTAAATTGAGGGGCACCTGGATGGCTCAGTCAGTTGAGCATCCGACTCTTGATTTCTGCTCATGACATGCATGATCTCAGGGTTGAGAGATAGCCCTGAATTGGGCTTCATGCTCAGCAGGGAGGCTGCTTAAGATTCTCTCTCCCCGTCCCTCTGCCCCTCCTCCTGCTTGTGCATGTGCATACACAAACACACACACTCTCTCTCTCTCTCTCTCTCTCTCTCAAATTCTCAGTTCCTTTAAAGTAAGATGAAAGTTGGCCAAGGAAATTTAGAACTTGAGCTTATTTTAAATTATCTTAATTGATGGCTTAGAAACTATACTTCTATATAGATCATAATTTATAATATAACATGTATAATTTATAGTTTATATTACATGCTTGTACATGAAGAATTCTTTACTTCCTCTTTTCGTAACGTAGAATGACCAAACTAATGGAACTAGCAAATCTTCAGCCCAAAAGGCCAAAAACAACAAAGCAGCACCATGTGAGAAAAAAGCAAAAAATAAAGGATATATTGAAAACACCTTCATCTGCTCCACATAGGTAATTTTGTTTTGGATTATGAAATAAGGGTTTTCTGTGTACTTTGTCTACTTGCTTAAACCATGTCATTTATAAACAATTACGGTAGACATTTTACCTGCCTGTTTGCCATGGGATTCTATATATTTTAATATATTAATCACATAAAATTAACATTAATTGTAATTTTAATTTCATTTAGCTATTCTACAATGTAAATTTCCCTTGAACTTGTAAGTAACTTCAAAAATTGAGAAAGGAGTTTGTTAGAAATCTTTTTTCCATTTTGAAGGAATAAGTCCTAATCTGTGTTTTTTTTTTTAATTTCACATTAAGTATAAATATGATGTATCTTTCTTACCGATGTATGGTTCTCACCTACGTATGTCTTGATACCACATCGCATGCTTTTAATCTCTATCGCAGCACTGAACAATTAAAGATAAATAACGTGAACCAAATTCAGTTTTCCAGTAGCCACATGAAAGGATTAAAAAGCTGATGAAATTAATTTTGATAATATATTTTATTTAACCCATTATATCCAAAATATTATTTCAGCATATAATTAATACAAAGTTGTCATAGTGTGTTGTGTATTTTATATATTTATATTTTAATTTGGGCAGCAATATTTCACGTGCTCATTAGGACACATGTGGCTAGTGGCAATTCTGTTGGACAGCATAGCTTTATTTATGTATGTAGAATACAGAACATAAAAATGCTTATATTAAAAATAGAATGAATGTCTTTGCATATTGGTAAATATCTTTAAGTTTGGAATCAGTAGTCCGCAGGTACTGTCTCTGTCATTTAATGAGTGATATCCCTTAATCTCAGTCTCCTTATTTAACTAGTAATTTAATAGTATCCATATTAGCAAATTTGTTAGGATTTATTGAAGTATTAAATGTAAGTTATTTTGTGCAATGCCTATGGTATTGTGAGTGCTTTGTCAGTGTTAAATTTAAGGTAAATGGGAATAATGTTTTACTTAGGATTTTATTTGCAATTGCCAAGTAATACTGTGACTATTTATAAACAGCAGTTTACATCCAGTGCTGTTACCTTCAGATGTATTTGACCAACCACAACCTGTAGGTATTAAGAAAATTGAATTTCATATATCTACTGACATGCCATCTGCATTTAAGAAAGATCTAGAAAAAGAACAAAATCGTGAAGAACAAAATTATGGTAAGCACATTCTAGTTCTTTAATATGCTGTGTAAAAATTCTTCTCATTCTGCTTTTTGTGTTAGAATTAAATGTTTAAAATATGCAGTTAACCTTCCTTAATGTCATGGAATATTATCCATTTTGAACTTTTTCATTAACTAAAATTAATGCTTAATGATGAAACCATTACTGTTGCCTTTTGCTAGTAATTAACTTTAGGGTGAAATTGAGTCTTGTTTTTGCTGATGTTTACATGAAAAATACAATAAAACAGTCCCACTGACTTATTTTTTCATTGTTAGTTGTGATGTTCTGTGGTTTTATTAGTATATTTGAATTACTGATTAGGAAACAAGCAGTGTGACTGTTAACGTGTATTGTAGATTTCATGTAAATATTTTTTTATCCAAAAGACATGGAAGATTAATTACTAAGATACTGTTCTTAAGTTTAAAAGACAATTTATTAAAATTACAGATATTCTGTTTATTGTAGGCATTAATTTGATATAATGGCATTCCTTTGTTCCTTAATTTTAATTTCATAAATAATACAGACTTATAGAAAAGGTAATCAAAACAGGAGCATATAAAGTAAAAATTTAAAAAATTTTACCACCTCAAACCCAACTGTCCCCTATCTCACTACCATTGTTAATAATTAGGAATATAGCTATTCTTCCAGACCTTATCCTATACACGTGTAAACGCATTTTCTCCTCTTGTTTTAAATGGGCATCATGTTTTATGTAGTGTTTGCCATTGACTTAATATTGACTTACTGAAAGCATACAGCCTAGCAGGCTCTATGCTAGGCACTAAAGGACAAGCTAGATGTGGTCTCTGATCTTCAGGAGTTTAAAGTCTAGTGGGAGTAGCTTACTGTATCAACATAAAAATACATACCTTATTTTTTTTATGGCTGCATAATACTACATAGTACAGTTATATGAATCTTTAATCATGCTCTGTTGATAGAAGTTGAGGTTGTTCCTGTTTTTTTACTATCTGAGAAACTACTGGAACATACATTTTGCACATGTGTCTTTGAGCATTTGTGTGAATATGCGATCAGAGTTCCAGTAAGTTTTGCAAATGTAGTGAGTGGAAAAACTGATTTTAATTCCTGTCTTTTCCAAGATTAGTGAGAAGGCATTGCCTTTTCAGATAGTTGTGTTTATTATTATTATTATTAAGGAGAATAGAACATATTTAACAGTTAAACTTGATTTGTAACTTTACAATATTTCAGTGTATGGTATGAGGCTTCCATTTGTACTCTTGTCCTGGCCCTGCTGGCATTAGGGGTGGGCTTGGGTCAGCCATTGGATCATAGTCTCCACCAGAGAGGCAGCATGTGCAGAACCTCTGCCCCAGAGCACAGTGCCTATCACAGAAGAGCAGTTGATAAATATTGGCTGTGAGAAACAAACAAGATGATCCAAGTAAAATAAAATGCTTGGCATGGTGCAAATGTCTAAAAATTAGCTGCTATTGTTTGTTGAATAAGTGAACAGTAGGCAGGGCACAGATAGCTTTTTTGTTTCAATACTTCTATTTTTCTTTTTGTATATTTTTCTCTCTTATTTCATGTTAGTCACCCAGACACAAATTTTTACTTTTTTAAGCTTAATTTACTCAAGGGTGTAGACCAGTATGAGAGGATGACAGTCCTCCCATTCTACATCAGTGTCAATTAGTAACGTTGAAGTAACAGGAGAAGCAGTCTTAAGTTTTTCTCTTATTGATACTTTCAGGCCACAGGAGATCTGTTTGTACAACAGTTTTTCAACATTATAAAGAAACTTTTTATAATTCTAAGTTTAGCATATTCTTTGCATCATTTTCATAGCTTTTTAGTTTTTTGCTTGTTTTTTGGTAGTATGACTAGAATTTTTCTAGTGAATATTTAACCCTATCCTTACTGTGCCAGTTTAATTTTTGCTGAAGCTAAAATTCATGTTTTGTAAATGAAATCCATTATGTTGCTATCTGAAATTAAAAATTTGTGGTGTTTTTGAATTTTCCTAATTGAGTAATTTCTTGAGTGTGAATACTTGTTTTTCTTCACTTCTTATAGGTTCTAAGAGTAGAATTGACTTCTTTTTGGTGGGAGGGTGGGGAAAGGCTTAATGAAGCTTTTTGGTATCCTCAAATTTCCATTTGTCTTATGATTTCAGCATATATGCTGATCTTAATCTTTTAATCATCTTTGATAAGATTGAAGATTGAAGGCTGTTTCATAATATTCTGGTGTGGCACTATGAAGTCTTCAGACCCACTGTATGAATAATCTTGAATGAGCACATTCCATTACGGAATGCCTTTGATAATTATGTAATTTATTTAATGAACTACAGATTTATTTCATATAATTATTAATAGTTCAAAGTGGATAGGTTAAACAGAATACTTATTATTGACCCCCCCCAACACACATTCTGCCTATCTTGCCCAATACATTTTACATTTTCGAGGTGCCCCTCTGGCACCTCAGACTAAATACGTTGAAAATGAATTCATTTTCTTTCCACTTTGCAGACCCTGTAAGTAGACCCACCAAGCAACCATTTGGCTGCTTAGCTATTGTCTGGCTGTTCTCATGTTACAGTGGCAGAGTTTAATAGCCATGACAGGAACCATATGGCCTGCAATGCCTAAAATACTTGCTATTTGAACCTTTACAGAAAAAGTTTGCCTACCCCTGTTCTACAGCATTGAGAAAAACACTTAAGAGTTTTAGTGCCAAAAGATATCTTTAAAAATGGAAAACAAAACCTGTTTTGAAGGGTAGGAATTTTTAATGGCTGATGTTAATGTTAACTTTTAGATTTACCTGCTCCTGGAGGTGATGCACCCAATGTAGGATTTGGAAAAATCTTCCCTAAACCTAATTTGAACATCACAGAAGAGATTAAAGAGGACTGTGATGAAATGCCATCAGAATGTATTTCTAGAAGGGAGTTGGAAAAAGGCAGAATTTCTAGAGAAGGTAATTTCATGAAATAAACCAGTGCCTATTCTATGTCTTTGATGTGTCAGAAACAACAAATCTCTTCATGTTCTTTACCTTAATTAAAGGATATATATCAAAACATCTTCCCAGTTAATGTTTTTAATCACTGCTTTTGGTTTTAATACCCATATTTTGTAGGGAGGAAAGTATCTCTCGATACAGTGTTTTCAGTCTATCTATGGAAAAAATATTTTTGTTTTCATTCCTAAAACTTTTTATATAACATTTTAAAAAAATTAAGGGGCCCATGGTCTGGAGTTTTGTATTCCAAATACAGTGGATATATCATTACAATTCTGTGTTTGAGATACATGCAAAGCAGTTGTTTAAAAAAAAAAAAAAAAGTTTCAGTTATTTGGTAATTAAAAGTCTGTGTTTAAGGATTTTATATCCTAACATGATAGTTTTCTTCTAAAGAATTTTTCCTGCTTTTAGTACATTTTAGGGAATTATTTAGGGGTTTTAGATTACATGTAGCATGTTACAGTATTTCCCATAATAATGGGAAATAAACTTCCAACTAGCATTTTTGCATAGAACATCTGTTGTCAGGAACTGATTATTGATACTAGGAGTAGTGGTAGAAGCCACAGTTTGTATGAATTACTTGATTAGGTTTGAGTAATTCGTTCTTACATCTGACTGTTGGTGCCTGGTGGTTTGGGAAATTGACTTAAAGCAAGACAATGACAAAAGTGATTGATAACCTATTTATTTGCTTCAATCTTTTTTTAATAAGGTAACTTTATCATAAAGGAGCTTCAGTAGTAGATATTTTATTGGACAAGTTTTAGTTATTTTAGATGACCTGAAATTTTTAAGCTTATTTTCGTATTATCAATTCAGATTTTTAATGAGTATTTTTATTAAGAACATTGCTATTAATGGTTATGGTTTTGACATTTTCATAATGCTTGTTCTATCTATTTAACACTTGTATTTGAATGTTTTTATAGTTTTTCTTTGAGAAAAGTAATGAAAATATCCTAATGTATGTCCTCCTTTTGTTTTGCTTTTAATAAGAAATGGAAACACTTTCAGTTTTCAGAAGTTACGAACCTGGTGAACCGAACTGTAGAATTTATGTAAAGAATTTAGCTAAACATGTTCAAGAAAAGGTAAATAGAAATTTGTAAATTGACTTTATTGTTTTACCTTTTTTTCCCCCTGAACCTTCTTACTTGTCTTTTTCTTATTAAAATTCTAGGACCTTAAATTTATTTTTGGGAGATATGTTGACTTTTCCTCAGAAACACAACGGATAATGTAAGTGGGAGTCATATTCTCAAATTATGTTTTGTTTTTATCTGTTACAAATTAGCCCTTTTTTTTAATCCCAGCACTTTCCCTATAGAGATAAAAATTATAGGAAGAAATGTTCTTATGTTGCCTAATTTTTAGATGTCTAAAGTAGTAGTCGGCAGAATTCTTCATAAATGGGCAGATAGAAACATTTTATATTTTTATTTTATTACAGGCCATACAGTGTCTGTTGGAGCTACTCAGTTCTATGTAGCATGTAAGCAGGCCTAAACAATACACACACTAATATTTATGACTGAGTTCCAATATACAAACAGCATAAATTCCAGCCTTAATCCCCAGTTCTAAAGCAGGGATTCTCAAACTTTAACCTGTATAAGAATCACCTGAAGAGCTTAGTAAAAGCGTTTCCTGGGTCCATCGAGGTTGAGGTAGGGCCTATGAATTTGTATTTCTAAAAAGCTCATGGATGATGCCAAAGCTACTGGTCCAAAGACTACACTTTGAAAACAACTGCATTAATAACTTATTCAGGAGTATATGTAGCAGTCCGGCAAAATTTTTCAGATTCTTAACCTTGGCAGTAGCTTCCCTTCTTTTAATTAGTCTGCATTAAGCAAGGCTCCCAATTTTGTGAGAGCAAAAGGGGGATAGGATTTGTAAATGATATAAAAGCTAATGTTTCGAGTTAGAATTTCATTCGGTAAAATGCCATAATTAGTTAGCTCCAAAGTATGTAAGACCCTCGGCCATATAAGTTAGAAGTAGGGAAAAGTAAAAAGGTAAAGAGATAAGACTTTGAGTGGAGGTAATATGGAGGATAACTGGAACTAAGTTTTATTTTAATCTTTTGATGTCTTATCTGGCCTATTTATACTCATTAGTGGCAGATACCTTTTCTTACCAGTATACCAAAAGTTTCTTTTGCTATGCATGCAAAATACTAGTCCTTTTTCTTGTTGCTACCTTTGAATCATGATTATAAGAAACAGAAAAAAATATATATGTATGAAATGTTTCATGTACATAAATATTTGTGTACATTCCTCTATTTTTAGTGTTGCTGTAATTAAAATTTGAGGGGGAAAATAATTCTATATGGAAAAAGCTATATACATCAAAATGATAAATTAATAATTGCTTTTCGTGGGAGTAATTGTGTGAATTTAAAAAGTCACTGCATTTTTTAATGCTCTGTATAGACTATTGCAGTTGTAGGAAGTACTTTAGTTGTAAATTATGGTCTGGTTTTTCTGATTTTTGAATATCGTTTTCCCAAAAATGTTGAAAAATGAACATGTTATGGAATAATAGAACATTACACTTGGGAATAAAAAATCTGGTTTGTGTTTCTACTCTAATTTTAGCTGTCTTTATGACTTTGAAGAAGTCATGCATTCTCTGTAGACGTCACCTATAAAATGATGATTTTGACTAGATCAATAAGGTCATATCCTACTCTGAAGTTCTGTGTCACTTTTCTGTGGTTCCTCTGAGCCTTTCTATTCTTGGTTTTATAGTTGTTTTTTTGTCACTTGAATAGATAGTATTGAGTTGGCTGTATGAAATTTTTTAAACATAGAGATAGGAAATAAAAATTTAAGTTTGTTTTTAGAGTTCCTAGTATTATAATTTTTAACTTACATAAATACACTTAACAGAGCTTTAGAAAGATATATATAAATTTATTATCAAACTTACTTTGAATCAATTAGAACAGTATACAAAACATAATTTTAGAAAGTCCGAGTAATGTTCTAATCAGACAGTATAGTCATTTTTACTCTGAAATGGCAGACATTTAAATGTTCAACACATTTCTATTCCCGTGATCAAAATTGTTTGATATTCTTCAAATCAAAACCGCTTTTTCTTCCTTGACTCCTAGGTTTGATATACGTTTGATGAAAGAAGGTCGCATGAAAGGACAAGCTTTCATTGGACTTCCAAATGAAAAAGCAGCAGCAAAAGCCTTAAAGGAAGCTAATGGATATGTTCTTTTTGGAAAACCTATGGTGGTTGTATCCTTAAATAATTCATTCCAAAGACAGTGTGTTTTTCAGTAGAAGGGTATACTTGAAACTAATTTTTTTTTTTAAGATTTTATTTATTTATTTGAGATAGAGCACAAACAGAACCGGGGTGGGGGCAAAGTGAGAGGGAGAAGCAGGCTCTCTGCTGAGCAGGGAGCCTGATGCAGGGCTTGATTCCAGGACCCTGGGATCATGACCTGAGCCAAAGGCAGACACTTAACTTACTGAGCCACCCAGGCACCCCTTGAAACTAATTTTTAAGTTATCCTTTAGAAAGCTCAACAACTGGTATTCTAGCTTACTCAGTTATAAACATACTTAGCTGAGTCATATGGGTAGTTAGATTTTTATTGGAAAATAAAGGAACCTCAGTAGCATGAGGTTATTATAATTTAGCCATGTCTAAACATTTCATTTATTTCTACAGGTCAGAAGTACATTTTTAGGCTAAGCCTAAAACACTACATTATCTACAAATACACTTGGAGTCATTAAAAAAATGATTCATTGTTGTTTTACTCTTTTATGTTTTATTATAGATATTACAATTCATATTTCTATTTGAAAATTTTAACAACCAAAATATTGATTAAACATTCTGCTTTTAGTAGTTAATGCAGTTTGCAAACTAGAAATCAGTGGGATAGATGGAGTGAAGGTCCAGATGTAAAAAATAATTATAAAGAAAAGGTAAATTTTTTACTTCTGCAAATCATGGGCAGCAGGTAGGATGCACTCAAAAATAAAAAAAATATTTGACAAATAGCTGAGAGTAGGAAGACAAGTACAAGAGATACATTTTAAAAACTGTACTCCTGCCCTACATTAGGAAGTTCTTAGTAATTATTTAGAGAAGACTACTGTCCTGTTTGTGAAAGAAACCTTAATTTTTAAATATTAGCAGTTTGCTCGATCTGCTAGACCAAAACAAGATTCTAAAGAAGGAAAAAGGAAGTGTTAAAAATTAATGAAGGTAAGTGTGGATATAACATAATAAAAGAACAAGACTTTCTTGAGATAAAATGAAGTATAAAAGCCTTCTAGAGTGATAATTCAGGTATCTCCTAAGGTTTTTAAAGGATAATTGATCAGTTGATCCATCTATCCATCCATGTCTCTATCACTCTGTGTGTGTCATTGTCTGTGCAGTTAATTCCCAATAAATTTCAAAATTTTAACTACAGAATAAAGCCCAAGTGTATGTAAAATTAAGTTTGGAGAATGAATTTATGAGGGGAATATGTCTTTGTCTTAAAACTTTTCAACCTATAGGAAAGCAGTGGTTCCTAAACTTCAACATGTATTACAGTCACCTGAAGGGCTGATAAAACAGCTTCCTTCACCCTCATCCAGAGTTTCTGATTCAGTAGGCCTGGAGTAGGAGCCTTGTATAGTCTACCATGCCAGTATTCCTGTGCTGAGACCGGGAAAGTGTCCACCAAGCCAAGACCAGTTGGTCACTCTTAATGGGGCCTAAGAATTTGCGTTACTGATTGCACATGTCACAGAAGTATTTACATATTTTTTTGTGGAATGAAATCTTTTGCCTTTCAAACAAGTAATTTTAATGCATACTTAAGTAATTTAATGAATAAAAATGATAGAATTAACCATTTTAAACTTCAAAGTTTGTGTTCTATTGATTTAAGAAACCTGAGTGGAAATATATTCTTTGTGTTCTATTTTAAATCTTTCTGCCTTTATATTTGGAAGAACATGAAGTTAACTCAGTCAGCTTTACTGGTGTTAAGCTGAAAAAATCATATAACTAAGGGAAAATTTTAATGTTTATTCCTTTTGTGAAATGCCTTGAATATTTGAATTTTGTGAAGTATCTATACTGATGTAGTCAGAATTCTTACAAATACCTTAGTGGAACGGTTATAACAATTTTCAGTGTGTGTTTAAAAAAATCATTTATTTATAAATCTAATGTGAGAACTGAGAAAAAAAATTAAACTGCATTCTGCTGTTCTTCTTTAGAAGCATTCCTGCGTAAATACTGCTGTATTACTGTCATACAAAGTGTATCCTTTCTTGTTGTATCCTTTTTGGGGCAGTGTTTTCTGTTTTTCCTAGAAATGTTTTGTCCCTCCCCTACCCATTGATTTGGATTAAGCAATAGTTTTTTTTTCTAATTTATTCAAATGAGATATTTCTAAAATTACCAATGTTGATTGGACAAATCACTTACGTGTTTTTTAGATCTGTTGCTGAATTTTCTATGCTGTTCTTGAGGTTATGTAATTTTTCTAGGGAAAGTTAGTGAATCAGGTCAACTTATTTACTTGGAGAATGTATGCATCTGCTTCAACACAGAATTTAGTCTTGTTTCTTATATTTATGTATTTCCTAAACCTAATTCAATAACATATGCTTTCTGTTTTATGATGTATCTGGTTTAGGTGTTCTATATAACGTATTGTAAAATTTGGGGAAAGGATTTTTTTTCTTTTAAAAAAGTATATATATTGAAAATTAAAATAACTGAATTTCTTTGTAAATTCCAAGAGTAGCAGACTTCATATCTGAGGTTTTATTATTGATACTTCCTTTGAGATAGATAGCAAGTAGAAGTATTTTTTTTTTCCTCTTTCTTTCTCTAAACAAAAGGAATGAGAAAAGAGGAACAGAGGGAAGAAGACATAATGTTGACTCAGGGTAGCACCTTAAGTGAAAAGAAACAATCTGGTAGGTATATGTAGTAACAGTGGTTTCCAGACTGGTTGATGACCAGAATTACCTAAAACAGTGGTTCTTAATCTTGGCCACATTTTGGAATCACCTGGGAAACTTAAAAAAATCTGATGAAGGAAAAAAAAAGGCTAAAATGTACTGATGTCAGGGTTTCTCCCCATTTTGATTTAATTGGACTGGCGCACAGCACAGATACTGGAATTTTTCAAACCTCCTAATGTGTGACCAAGGTTGAGAACCACTGAGGAAGGATTTTTACATTTAAAGATTCCTGGACTCCCTCCTAAAACTAATAAATCAGAATTTCTGGGAATGGGACCAAGAATCTAATTTGAAAAGGTATCTTTAGTAGTTCAAGGGCTGACCAGTTTGGATACTAATTTGTTAGATTAAAATGGTTAGGTGCTTATACCAACCTAGCCATCCAACCTTCTGTAAGTAGGAAAATCAAGAATTGGAGCCTCTGCATGTTTTGCAAATCCTGCTCTTGCTAGTACTAGGAAAGCAATTCAAAATTCTGTTAATAATTATTATCATTCAAGAGTACAAAAAATTAGATATTGAAGTTGCTGTTTTTTGTAGCGACAGTTAAAATGTTTAATGTTATAAATCACAGTTTCTATATAAGCTGTTTATTTAGACAATTAAAAATTTGTAGTACTGACATGATTCACTAATTTTCTAAATATGAATGTTTTAAAATAACTAAAAGCTAATGAGCTGTTTTATAATCATAATTATTTTTAATGAACTCTTATGATGTTTTAGGTTCCTTCTGATTCCATGTCTTCCAACTGCTTTCCAACTTTAAGGAGAAGAAATTGACACCTGGACTATGGAACTGTGCGTAACAGCTTTTAAAGTATATTTAAAAATTAAATCTATATGCATTTAAATCAGTTTATTGGAGATATATTACATGTATTTTAATCATCTTCCTCATATATAATAAATTATTTTCTTTCCAATAAAATAATGTTCTTAATTTTTTTATCTTGTTTAATACACTTGGAAAGTGTAATTTGATAATTACATAAAATTTTGAAGGTAATTTTACAATACTAAATAGAAATTTTCTTTTATGATTACAGATACTGCCCTCTGCCCTTCTTTTCATTTTTACCTGGATACCAATGCAGTTAAACATACTTTTTTATAGTAATATTATTTCTTATTTCTTGTAATTATTTTAGGAGTGGTTTTGTTTGTCTGGCTATGACTTTTGTTTTTTGTTGTTGTTGTTTATTTTGGGTTTTTTTAGTAGTGGCAGATTTTCCCCACTTTAGGAAATTTGTATTCTTGCCCTAATGTAGTCTTTTATTTTGGTGCCCCCAAATCGATCGGATTATCACATAAGGGTGTAAATGTTTCCCATACAAAAGTATTGTGTTATCTTAGTGAAATTAGCTTCAGCTATGTGTTAATAAGAAAACTTTGCTATATTTAATTTGTTCTTATTAGTACTGTCCTGTGAGTATATAATAATAACTTCACCAGAATCTATGCCCAGAGACTTGGTCTTTGTTGGAATGCTTTTGTGAATCACAGCTTTTGTCTCCTAGCAGTGTGAAATAATGAAAATGGGAATTTTAAAGATAGGAATTAAGAAGTATGGAGAAGTGAACCCCAGAACATGCTCATTTTTAGATGTCAGGTATATAAAGAATAGGTACAAACCAAACAAAGAAAATATCTCAGGTAGGAAGGGGCGGTGAAATATATCAGATCTGTTCTTGACGGATCTCTCCTTGACAAACTGATCTGATGAATGGAAGAAATGAGAGGACGTATTAAAGAGAATGGTAGAGAGGAATTTAATATAGTGAGAATTGAAGACAACCATGTTAGAGAGTCTTGCTCTCGGGGGGATAGAGAAATGGGCTGTTAATGCAGGGGGGTATATAGTATCAAGAGGGTTTTGATTTTGTTTGTAAAGATTGAAGATATAGCAGGTTTGTATGGACTAATCCAGTAGGACTAACCCAGCAGAGGAAAAAACAAATATGATGCACGAGGGAGAGGGATATTGTTGGAGCTACAGATATGGTATGCAAATAGAAGAGTTAGTTTTAAAGATGGGCGTGTAAATGGCTCATTGATAGCAGGGAGAAAGGATGGATTGTGTAGGCCTAGATACTTGTAGTTTGCTGGATATATAGGAGGAGCATGTAAAAGTTGTATGATATTTTTTCCGTGAAACAGGAAGCAAGGTCACAGAGGGAAATAGTATTGGATTGAGGAAAGAAAAGAAGGTGTAAAATAGACACTTAGGAAAGTGACAGAGTGAATAGATTCTTAGAAGGATGGCTAGACAGTACTTAAAGTGGTCAGTTGAAGTCTGTTAATTTAAGTGAGACTAGTCAAATGATTTTGTGTTTTCCTCCAATGATGTTTAGCCTCGGTGCCATCACTGAGTAGACAAGAGTTGAATTTAATCAAAGTTGGAATTTTCCTAGATGAATACAACAAAGTGGGAGGAAGGAAAAGGTGTTGATATACTCAAGGGAATGATTATAAAGAAAAGACATAGAGATTTGGGTAAAGAGCAAAGTGAGAAAATGAAGGTTGAGAAACAATGGAAAAATGGTATGATCAATTATATATAGATTGCAGTATGACTGAAGAAATGTTGGAGTTATTTACTAGAGGTAGGAAGTAGAAATTTGAGAGGTCCAAATAAGAGAATAACATGACAAATTGACAAAGGCAGAGAGAATACAGTAATTAGTGTCTATAAGTTCTAGAATGTGAACATGGTAGTTAAGTGAAAACAGGGTCATGGAAAGAGATGAATTAAAGAAATTGAGAAACTTGAGTATGAAAAGGATCATCTAAGTGGATTTTGAAATTATTAAGAATTATGACAGGAATAGTGAGCCAAGATCTAAGTAAAATTACCTCTTAGAACATACAATTCTGTTAGATATGGAAAAAGCAATATTTTAAAAAAATCAGTTTATAAAACTCTTTCTACAGTGACAGGAAATTCAGCCTAATTTACTGAAAACTAGTGTATTACAGTGGTTTTATAGGTGTAGATTCTGACACCAAATCTTGTTTCTGAGGTTTAATTGCTTTATCGCCTTGGGCAGGTTCTATCCATTTCCATGGAGATAATCAATACTTATGGTAGGATTGTTGTAAAGATGATTTAATGAATATAAAATACTTAAAACAAGTCTGGGGTGTGTGTGTGTGTAGTCAACTTCTCAATAAATATTAGCTCTTATAGTGGTTGTGGTGGTTCTCAGCTCACACCAATTCCAGGTGGCATAAAGATTTTGATGTCTTAGCAAAACTTCGACAAGACTTCAATTATCTTGCCAATGTAATGACCCACACTTCTATTGCTTCTGAGTGAGGAAAAATTGCCTCGATTATTCAAGGTTCTTCTAGCTGGTCTAAGAATTAAATTGACATGAGACGTAATTCATAATTTCTTAACCTTATAACCATATTATAACCATAATTTCTATAACCTTAAGTTAGCTTTAATACTGAATATTTTCCCAGTTCACGTGAACTTGAAATTCATTTGGATTGTGTTTCTTTTTTATTTTTGAGAATCTTTATGAATGCAAAACTTATGTAAGTGCTTAATTTTCTTTAAGCCAATCAAATAGAGCTCTTCTACAAAATCATTTGAGCATTCTAACTGGAAAATGCCATATATCCACAATAGACACATACTGACAGATGCAGAAAACTTACCATTATTAATATTTGAGGAGAAAGGGGCAAGAGAACCCTTTTGCAGTTTGTATTTTTAAAAAATATCTACTTCCTTCTTTTTTTCCTTTACTCAGGCAATTGTGGGCTGTGTGTACACTTCAGAGATACAAGATTTATAACTATAAGGGACAAAGAATGTAAGGTTTTTTTTTTTTTCCCCTAAGAATTATAGGGTAATTGCTATTTAGAATTTACCTTCCTTTTCTTAAGTAGAGGACAATTCTGTTTCAGTATCCTGATTTTTTATAGTACCTATAAGCATTTTGAGAGGAATAGGTGAGGTTTTGGGATTGGTAGAGATGGTGGGGGTTGCTTCTAGAGTTGCATTTCTGGTTTTGTAGAGATTTGCCAGGCACAGTTGTTGCTAATTCCCAGAAAAAACTGAATTACAGCCTGAATATCAAGAGATTGATCAGCTTTTTTAACTAAACTTGACTCCTTAGATCAGGGAGATTTCCACCTAAAGTGGGAATCAGGTTTATATCTTTGTAAAAAAAAAAAAAAAGTCTGTATAAATCATGTTAACTAAAGCCTTCTTTCTTCACAATTCAATCTTGGCTTCTATTAGCCCCTGAATATCAGTCTTCTGCTCTTCATTTGTAGGAGGGCCAGGAAAAATTATGGTCATCTCTTTCTTTTTTAGTGGGGAGGATGTGAATCTTTCCAATTTCTCTCTAAATTTGGTGGGCTCTTCTGAAAGTGGAGGTAAAATTGGGCTTTATGAGTTACAAGATTTGTTGCTATCCAAGGGACATGAAATTTTTTCCCTCCTGGGTTTGGGGGGGTGGGGGGAGGTGGGAATCCAGGGTATATCTGCAAAGGACATGGCATAAGAATGCCTAAAGCTGGCAGAGCCTGATTGTAGAGCTTTAGAAAGTAGGAGTTGTAAGAAATAGCCAAGTGACATAATAAAATTTAAAAAAAAAAAAAAGAAAGAAAGAAAGAAATAGCAAAGTGAGCCCTATCACTTGTCTTCAGTGCTTCTGTTAAATTCACTTCATGAGTTTTAGCATTTATATGAGTAATGTATATACATTGACTCTGGAGTTTAGGCTGGAGTGCTCTATGTAAATCTTATAAGGAAGGGTAAGTTAAAACAGGCAGATGGAGCTGGTTTTTAAGAAGGGGAATTTACCGGGACGCCTGGGTGGCTCAGTCGGTTAAGCGGCTGCCTTCGGCCCAGGTCATGATCCCAGGGTGCTGGGATCGAGTCCCATATCGGGCTCCTTGCTCAGTAGGGAACCTGCTTCTCCCTCTCTCTCCCTCTGCTTGTGCTCTGTCAAATAAATAAAATCTTTAAAAAAAAAAAAGAAGGGGAATTTACCTTGGATGTGGACATCAGTTTTTGTCTTAAGTCTAACTTCTGTTCTTTCATCTTGTTAAGGGAGTCCCTAAGTCCCTACCCCTAGTAAGTATACTAATAAGACAATTGAGAGCTCTGTATAAGGATTTTTTTTCTTTTGAAATGTAGCCAATTTAAAAGATTTCATGTCTGACCATTGATGAGTAGGCTCTTACTAATTTTAATAGCAACTCAAACCAAGAAACCTTTTTTTTTTTTTTTTTTTTGGAAAGACCCAGGGGCAATTTCTAGGCTTAGAGCATGGGTGCAAGAGGCATTCTTGGAGAGGGCATAGATGATATAGTCCCCATGATCCACAAGTTTACTCCCAGAAATAGTCTAAGAAAGCAGATGCCTTTTTTACACAGGCAATAAGGATGCTTTAGTGAAAACAGTGTCTTTGATCACCCACAAAAACCTGAATTGCCTCCAGTTAACAGACCTACTAATCTGTGACACCAGGCAGGTGCAGTATACTGGAATGGGACATTTTAGCACTAACAAGCAACAAAGGTTAAGAGCACAAAAGTCCCTTATGGACTGGGACCTCTTATGACTTACTTTTTGAGGGCTGTCATGGCTAGACAGTGTTGCTAGCAACTTTATGTCTCAAAACCCCACTCTTACTTGGCTACCAGGGTGTACCCCAGTAAGTGCATTGTCTGCATGGTGGAGACCAGAGAAAATCAAGTTCTCAAGACAAAAGGAAAAACCTTATCCAGATTTTACGTGTGGGACCCACAGCAAAGTTTGTCGAAACATATGCCCATCTGATAAGAACTATGAACTCAACAGTCTATAATGTTAGTTTGAACAGCAGGCTTATAAGGGCCTATGCTGGTATTTCCCTATAGGAATTCCCTTTTATAACAACATAAAAGACAAAAATAGTGACCATCTCTGGGGAGGAAATGGATTAATAAAACCAAGAGTACTCTATCGAATTTATCAGAGATGCTGAGCCCATGGAGTATTTCCAAAAATACTTTTTCCTGTTAATGCTAAATTTAGAAAGAAAAAGGACTCTAACCACTCTTGTCCCACCAGATCTTGCAGACAGATTCCAGGAGGCTGACATAGTAAGAAATCTTACTTTTGCCAGCTGTTTATCAGATGTCCCAGAGTTTCTCAGCTACAGCAATCCCAGGGTGAACAATATTTAGCCAGTTGAAGTTTATCCTGCCAACTAGCCAGTTGTTGGGGAGGAAAAAATTTCCTTCAAGATTCTTCTTACTGGTCTAAGAATTAAATTGACATGAGACAGATTAATAGTAGGAAAAAACAAATTAGAATTACATGTACATGGAGGCCTAATAGTAGCATTGAGTCTCAAAGAAATGTCCAAGTTCTATGCTTTTATACATTTTAAGCAGATGTTGCCAGGTGAACTGCAGAGACCCTGGGCCCTGGGTTTTCAACCCAGCCCATCCTGAAGGAGTCACCGAAAGTTCTCTGTCTTGTCTTGAGAAAAGATTCAAGGAGACACTCTGTTAACAGTGGGTAAGTGACGTAAGTGGGAAAGTTTATGTAAAGTGAAAAGTGATGGACATTGGGGAGGGTTATGTGCTATGGTGAGCACTGTGAATTGTGTAAGACTGATGAATCACAGACCTGTGCCCCTGAAACAAATAATACATTATATGTTAAATAAATAAAGTGAAAAGTACACTCTAGAGATAGTAGAGCAAGTGAGCTCAAGAGAGTGAGCGAGCTACGAGCTATGTGCCCTGAAGGTTGGGTTTCTTTTATTGACAGTTGTTAACTAGAGGGTAGAATATGTATTACTTGGGGCAGGAAGCAGGGTTTTGTACTTTTTCTTCCTAATTTGGTCAGGGGTTTCCTGTCATGGTATCCATCATCTGGGGCCTATCTGGTTTGATCAGGTTTCTTATGGAATGGTGCCAGCACAGGCCTCTGATTTTCCCAAGAGCTAGCCATAACTTCCTCCTTGCTGGCCTCCAGGTATTTTGTTAGAACCTAACTGCCTACTCCAACACAGAGAGACATTAATCAGCAAGGAAATGACAAAATAAAGAAAACTTAACCTTTTGAAGCTTTAAATAGTAAAGGATTCTAAACAGAATTTGGGCGGTGGTTGTAAATTACTAAAAGTAACAAGGCTTGTTTATACAACTTTCTTGTCTCTGAATTCCCTATCTGGTGATAAGGATATCTCAGGGAGAGTGCCTTTCACATGGGAGATTTATTTCCTGCTTTCTGGAGACACGGTGGGAAGGGGAAGAGCATTCTTAATAATCAGTATGCAAGAGTGGCACATTTGGGACTGCCTGTCCTAGGCCTCCACACTTCCTTACCACAACTGCACCATGAGACTTTGACCAAAGTGTAAGAACGTTGGTGTCTAGGAATTAACCTGTTTGTGGATAATGCACAACCATTCCACTCTATTTCATTAATTGAGCATATGACCCAAACAGGTCCAATTAGAAGCATTTCCAGTTCTTGTACAGATTTTTTTTTTTTTTTTTTAAACTAGACAGAGCTGTGCCTGGAGCTGCTAACCATTATCCTGATAATTGTGATGATAGTTCATTTTCAGTTAGATTTAAAAAAAGAAAATTCATCATGGAGAAGTACTAGTAATTTAAACCTGTAGCAAAAGCCCTAACAGCTAGTGTATCATGGAATTTTTTAGTTACTTTAAATGAAATAAACTTGAAATAAGTACTTTTTCCTTTTGTTGGAGGGATTTGGCACTCTTACAGACTAAGTATGGGTCATATATGTCACCCTTAAGATAGAAGGAGTGAAGTTTCATATAAGCCACATGAAGTGAGAGTTTAAAAGCCTTGTTCTCCAAAGGAAAAGCATAGAGCTATGAAATCAAGAGAGAAAGTAGGTACTACACAGCCAAAAACAAATGTTTTACTACAGTGTATATAATATATAAAACTCATATTTCCACATGGTGATTTTCCACTTATGCCTTATACAAGGGCTGGGAATAGTATGAGGCAAGTGAGGCAAATATGGTGTAAGATTTAAGGAGTCACTCAGAGTAATGCAAGTACTCTTCATCCCAATCTAGCATGGCTCTGCCTCCTACTATTAGTAACATGAATAGAATCAGCATAATCCTGATTAG